GGTGCAGCTGGCGAGGCCGGCCGCCGGGACGACGGCTGAGCTGGCGTCCGCCTTGTTGCCGGCGTACTCCTTGAAGCTTTGGTAGGGCTGCATGAAAGCCAACGCGTCACCGTGCCGGCTGTCATCCGCCATCGCCTCCGTATCGCGGGCGCCGGCCGTCCACGTCAGGGCGTTGCCGCTAGACCCCTCAGCTTCTGACTCGGTCTCTGACAGCCTGCTTCAGCTCAGGGATGCGATTGTAGTATGACATTGCGTCGTATCTGGAAAAAGATGGAGCGACGCTAAGATCAAAAGTTTCACTGCAAACAACCCTGAGAGGATGCGCCACGGGTTCTCGATCTGGTTCAAGTCAGTGGATGACACCGGTCTCTGGAAGCGAGGACAGAGCGTTGTTTTCTTTGACTTTGGAAGTCCAATGATAGTGGATGCTGCTATCTCTCGGTCAGGGGATGGTGGTGCCCTTATACGCCCCCCCCCCCCATAATCAGAAGGCCAATTCAACAACAGCACTTTTACCCTGAAGGCTGTCAAGATTCAAAGACTGACCAAGAATTCTGGTTTTTTTTTGGTCAGGAAATTGTATGTACAATGACATTCCCATAACCAATGAATTCCAAAAATACACACCGTACAATGAATTAAATATCTGTTTACTCGTTTCCTGAAAACCTGCAACAGTAAATTTATGAATTCCAGGCACAACATTTGAGTGATTGTGATACAATACTTCAGCCTTTAGTATTTAAATGACAACAGCGTGAAAAGTCAATTGCCAATTTTTTTTTTTGGGGGGGGACTTGAATCTTTGTTTTATGTCTAAGGATCCCCCACCCCCCCCAAAAAGGCCAATTTTAAACTGACTTATATTGGCTTTATTATAATTAAAAAAGATTACATGACATTTGGATTAAAAAAAACTACTTTGTGCACAAGTAGTAGTTCTTGCGCACAAATAGTTTTTTTTTTTCCCCTAACGTCATGCCTGGGGGTCCGTATATTTTGTTCTGATTTAAAAAAATAAATAATAATATTCTAAGACTTAAGTTGTATTTTTTTCAAAGTCAGGTGTCATTGTGATTTTTTTTTTTTTCAAACTTTATTGACATGACATTACGCTTTAGCAAGTGAATTTCAAAATGACTCATGATGTTCCGCCTGTTATGGAAAAGCTTTCATTCTGTTAAAAAAAAAAAAAGACTTGAATTCCCCCCCACGCCATTAAATGCAACTTAGTTCTTGTCATATGGCTTTTCCTGGAGAAAAAATAAAATAATTTCTCAACTCAACTGTATGTATAGAGCACTTTTAAACAACCGCCGCTGTATACAAATGTATGCAAAGACTGTATTAGCCCCTCACCCGTTTTTGTCCATGGCCTCCACGTCATTCACCCTCATGCCGAAGATGAAGAGGTTGTCCTCGCCGGCCTCCTCGGCCATCTCCACGTTGGCGCCGTCCATGGTGCCGATGGTGAGGGCGCCGTTGAGCATGAACTTCATGTTGCCGGTGCCAGACGCCTCGGTGCCGGCCGTGGAGATTTGCTCGGACAGATCCGCCGCCGGGATGACTGCGGAACCAGGAGGACCCTGACGTCAACGCTTTGATGCCCCGTCACAGGGTTGACGGGCAGGGAGAAAAAAAAAAAAAAAGACCTTTCTCGGCCAGAGTGACCCGGTAGTTCTCCAGGAAGATGACCTTCAAGCGATCTCCCACCACGGGGTCGTTGTTGACGACATTGCCGATGGATGTGATCAATTGGATGATCAGCTTGGCCGTGTGGTAACCTGGAGCCGCCTGGACACCGGCAAAGACAGACTTTTTACCTCATTTTTTTGCTTGGAATTTTAGTCTGCCAAATATCAGAATCGAGATCGGCCTCAAAAAAAAAAAAAACATCGGTCAGGTTCTACTCCTTACTACTGCAAGATATTCCCCGAAGATTGCTGAAAGTGTCCCTTAATGTATTTTTGACACAGATATATATATATATATTTTTTGGACCTATAAAAGATTGCGCAACCTGCTGCTGAACCTAGCCCTTTATTCATAAATATTACAAAATAGATTATCGTTACTCTATAAATGTATTAGTTTTATTTTGAAAACATGATGTGATGGAGAACTAAAACAAGGTCAAATCTGCACATCTAAAAAAAACAAAGTTCACAAATTCTAAGTTCAAGCAAGGTGTAGAGTTTTGTGATTGTCAGCTAATTTTTTTTTTTTTGGGGGGGGTACTCAGCAAAGCTCTGGGAACACGTTTTGCTATCATAAGAGCTGGGCCGCTTTCCGATGTACAGCGATTAACTGTCAACATTTTTTTTTGCTTTTGGACTGAAATACATTTCAGGCTGTGCATCTGCAAGTGCGAGAGGTGATTTTTTTTTTTTTTTTCTCGCAGAGTCTCAATGAAGCGCACAGTTTGACTATTTCATATTGAATATATTTGAGAGCATCTCGAGTCACCTTCCCCCCGATCATGACGGTCCTCGGGGTCCAAGC